GCCTGGGGCGCTTAGGGAGCCAGGTCTCGGAGGCCGGGAGGAGGGGCCCCAGCGGCCAGCAGGGGGTGTCGGGGCTGCGGGGTCCCCCCAAGGTCCTTGCTTGGTTGGGGGGCGGTGACGAATGTTTCCCGGCCCGACGGTAGAAGGCTTTCCTTCCTTGCCTCTCCCCAGTTTGTCCCACTCTTCAGGTTTGGTGGATCTGTGCACCTACTGTGTGCTAAGTGCTTTGGGCCGAATGACACCGCTTGGTGGCACTTTTGACGGAGGGGCCAGAGCTGCTGGGGATATGGGGGTGCTCTGGCTCTGCCTCCTTTTACTCACACGGGGCCTCAGTTTCTCCATCCCCAAGTTGAGCCGAGAGTCCACTTGTTTATTGTGGTAAAACGCGTGTAGCCAAACGTTGGCCACTGTGACCATTTTCAGATGTGCGGTTCTGTGGCCCGTGGTGTGTTTTTAAGGTCTCTGAGCCCCTGGTAGCATTTTCCTCCCCTCCCTTCCTCACGCCAAGCAGGGGAGTCTGGAGTTCCGCAAGGGGAAACCTGATGTCTATAGACACAAAACCTTGCGGGGAAGAAAGTAATATATTTTCCTTCTGCCCATCTGGTTCATTGGCCGGGGCCTGTAAGTTAGACTAAGAAAGGACAGAGTCCCGAGAGGCCGACAAGCAGAAGCTGAACACAGTCGCTGTGCATGTGCACGGGAGCGCTCGGGGACCAGAGCCTCAAAGGACCTTCCCGGGGGGCAACTAATGGGAAAGTAAATGCAGGCATCTGGGAAAACCTAATGGAAACGAAGGGCTAGTCAAGTTCCTGATGCAGGTTCCTCTAGTGTCGCCTCCAGGCTGCTAAGAGTCCAGCGTCGTCTCCCCAGCTCCCTAACTCCTGTCCATCCTGGTACAGATGGGAGGGGCGCGTGTGGAAGGGAGGCTGTGCCATGAGGTGACCGGTGTCTGTCCTGCAGGCCGGACCGGGCCAGAAAGGAACCTGGTAGCGTTCGCATCCTAGTTCCTGCGACTGTCCCCCACTTCTCACCGGCCAAGCAGCAAGGGGTCCATCTCATGTTGTAGCCGCCCAGGATGGGCCTCGTCTGTACGTTCCCCTTAATAAACTCTATTGATTACCTGGAGCGGCCAGCCCCTTTCTTCGGTCTCTCCTGCCCTCCGCTTACGAAGATAGATTTTCAGTCCCAGGATCTTACCCGGGGTCTGGGTGTCCAAACAGGGGCACCTTTACAAACTCAGGCCCTGCTCTTAGGCACATGGAGGAGGGCAGAGAGCTTTTCTTCTGTCTGCTCTTCCCAGTGGTCTTTAGCTCAAAAGAACCAATATGGCAAACTGGCATATTTTGGGCTGGCAAACTCTGCTACCCTTCTATCCGACTCTCATTTCGAGATCCATAAGGAGGAATTAATGCTTACTTTTCCCAAAGAACACACGCTCCATAGTCAACCCATTGTCCCCTGGGCAAATAAGGGGCTTGGGACCAGTTGAGTCTAGGATCTCCTCACTCAAGGAGCAGCAAGAGCTTCTTCAGATCGGACTCTTGTGTGCCAGCCCAGAGCCGGATCTGTGCGGTCAGAATCTGCCTACCCAGGTGCCCAGGTGGTTCGGATGCAAATGGAAGCTGAAGAGGTGCCGCTCGTTGGTATATCAAGTCCTCGGTGGGACAGCTTGCAGAATATAAATGCTGGAACACCTATTGTCCCTACTTAAATATGTTCTAGTGCTGACTTACACAGAAACACTTAGACCGTCCATGAGGACTTCTGCTTCTGGTGGTGGCAAATTTATTTGTACCAACTTTCATTGAAGACAGAGAGCTACCGGAACAATAAAGAAGTGTCAGGCTGAGGTCTGGGGGAAAACAAGAATCCAGAGATGTGAGCCCAGCACTTCAGATGGCTCTTACCGTCAGGGTGTTCGTGAGACTAAGCTGCAGTTTGGGGAGCTTCATGAGATTAGGGGGGCATAAATTGGATTCCCAAGTCAGCCAAGGGTGGAGACCCTCTGAATACCTATTTTGGGCGAGGTGTCTGAAAAGCTAACCCAGGGAAGTAAGGAGGACCTGGAAATAAACAGCTTTTGAACAGACTGGGGGTGGACTTTGAATCATCGCTGTGGTCCAGAAAAATCTCAAGCCATGAACTTGAATTAAGGTGCTTCCAGATAGTGCCCTGAAAAGCAATTTTTAAAAAACATCTCCTTTGGAGAAAAAAACATGCAAAATCTTAATTGTTTCTACAAATAACTTTTCAAATGCAATGTCTTGTAACCAATCAAAGTTATCAAGTACATAAGAGATAAGACCCCGGTGACAAGGGGACTCTGGGAGGTGTCATCCGACACATCTATTACCTTGATTGTGGTGATGGTATTACAGGTGTTTATTTGCATGTGTCCAAACTCGTTAAATTGAACACATTGAATACAGTATGTGCAGTTTTTATATATCAAGTATACGTGAGTAAAGCTATTAAAAAAAAAAACAACCCAATAGTAGGAATCAATAGAAAGAAACAACAGAAACAGGGTCTCCAGATACTGGAATGATCAGAAATAGACTATAAGCAGTTATGCTGAGCTTAATTTTGGCAGGGAATCAGAATCTGTTAAAAGAAACATCAGCAGAGTTGAAAAACAAATAGAATTTTAGAACTAAGCGGTAACCAGCAGACTTAGGAAGGTACCAAGACCTGCTCCCCAGATCCTCTCCGTGAGCCTTGCTGCTGACGGCGAGGCTGCCCTTTCCTGCTGTAGGGAGGGCACCTCTCCGGCGGCTTTGTGACCCGCGTCGGGGGAAGGCCGGAGGGCCCTTCCCGCACCCGCCGCTCCCCCCGCGCCTTCCGCTTGAATCAGTCGCCGCGTGGAGGTGCCACGCTTTGAGGTCGCGTGCCCCGAGCCTCCAGGTGCGGAGTTTCTGTTTGAGGCAGTGAGAAAAGTCTGGAGATGGACAGTGTGGACGGTTGCCTAACATCGTGGCTGCACCATGCCACTGAACTCTATGCTTAAAAACAGGTAAAACGGTAAAAATTCGTGTCTTTCCCACAATAAAAAGTTACCAAAGATAAAAAAAAGAATTACAAAGGAGACTTGGATAGAAAACCTACACTAAATCCTATATTTCATTTAAAAAAATGAAAGCTCCTTTTTTTACAAATTTATTTATCAATTCTAGAGAGAAGGGAGAGAGACAGACAGACAGACAGACATCGATTGGTGGCCCCCTGCCTGCGCCAGACCGGGAGTCAGACCCTCAGTTTGGGCATGTGCCCTGACCGAGACTCGAACCCCCCTTTGGTGCACAAGGTGATGCTCCAGCCAACAGGCCGCACAGCCAGGGCAAATGAAAGCGCCCTTTCAGTTCACGTTTTGTGAGTTAGCACTCTCTCCTCTCTGAGCCGTGTCTTAGGACTTTGCACAGTAAACTAAAAAGTGTTTTCTTAAACACAGAGGTTTATATTTCAGGTGGATAAAGATGGCTCCTGTAATAAAAACCACAGTGTCCTTATCTTGTTCATTGGCTGGGAGGAAAAGACAACCAGGTGATCTGTTGCTTTTGGCCAAAAGCAGAGCTTGAGGCCTTTGTCCCAGTTAAACATTTAAGTTAGCAAAGTGCTTTAGTGAATGATTCAATGTCCTGCATCCAGATTATTTTTAAAGTCAACACACGGCATATAGAGGGTTTTATGGCACAGAACTCAAACAATCCAAGTGCGTTTAGGTTCAAGGAGGTGGTTTCCAACTTCCCGTCGATGGGAGCAGATTCTCCTTTTAAAGGGAGAGTTGGATTACTCTGTTTCCCCTTCATTCTTGGTTATAAAACCCTGAAGAACAGGGAGCGAGCAGTTGCAGCCTCTGGCCACATAACGTGCTCAAAGCTAATAAATGAGAAGTGGGATCGAAATCCTCTTCCTATACCAAACCCCTGATCTCAGGTCCCATGTTTCCTTTTGAAAGCTTGTTCAAGGTTCCTGAATGAATAGAATTATGTGCGTGATGGCGGTGGCTTCTGAGGGTGTCTTCTTGAAATAGTTGTTGTTCAGAAACTGTTCAGATTCTGTCGTAATTGGAAGTGTAAATACATGAAGCAGAAAAGGGAAGGACTGCTGTGATTCAGGTTGGGTTGGGGGCCTGAGCCCTGTCCCCTTGGTTTTCATGCTCCCTTGTCAGCCTCTGGGGGCCAGGGGGATTCCCCAAACTGCTTCTGCGTGGCCAGCCTCAAGTCCATCACTAAGGCACACAGCCGGCCTCATGAGTCTCCCCTAAAAGTGTTTGAAGCTTCTGAATCAGCCTCTGGAAGGAGGTTTTGCCAGGATTGCTTTCCCCATAGATCCAACCTCAGCAGCAAATGACATTGACATTGTAAAAGGAACGCTAGCCGTCCAATGCAGTGATTTTGGGGATAGCTGCCAAGTTCTCTGCTTTTGCATCTCTGGTGAAAGCTGAGATTTCTTTTTAAACTTATTTTTAAGGTATTGACTTTGCCACTCGTAAGATAGCCAAGTTGCTGAAGCCACAGAAGGTGATTGAGCAAGATGGGGATTCGTTTACCATCCACACGTACAGCAGCCTGAGGAACTACCTTGTTCAGTTTAAAGTTGGAGAAGAATTCGATGAAGAGACCAAAGGCCTGGATAACAGAAAATGCAAGGTAAAAATTAAAGTAATAACATAGGTTCTTTATTTTTTTAAAAATTGATTTCAGAGAGAGAGAGAAACATCAATGATGAGAGTCATTGATCAGCCGCCTCCTGCCCACCCCCCCACTGGGGATCGAGCCCGCAGCCCGGGCATGTGCCCTGACCGGGAATCAAACCCCGATCTCCTGGATCCTAGGTCAGTGCTCAGCCGCTGAGCCACGCTGGCAGCGCATAACATAGGCCCTTAATTTTGCCAGGTTAATTGGCATTCTACTTAGTACTAGGCCAGGCTAACTGCCAGAACAAAGCAATGTTTTCTCCCCTCCGTCACGCAGAGTTTGGTCACCTGGGACAATGACAGACTCACCTGTGTCCAGAAGGGCGAAAAGAAGAACAGAGGCTGGACCCATTGGATCGAAGGCGACACGCTCCACCTGGTACCCGCCACACGGCTCTTGTGTATAGTGAGATGATACCATATTGAAGAAAACGTTAAACAGGAGTCGGTGACCAGCAGCCCCGTCGTTCCAGCCCCTTCCCCTTGGCCCGCTACCTTCCAGTCTCTGTCGGAACGCTCTGCCTTTTCGTTTAACACAAAGACGTATTCCGGGTTTCTAAGTAGCCTTCCTGTGGAAGTCACCATGTAGTAATCGAACATTATATATATTAAGGTAGCAAACTGGCTGCATAACATTCCACCGGGCTGAGGAACTCTCATTTTAGTAAAACATTTTCTTCAAAGTGTCCAGAGTATGGTTTCAGGGTGTTTGCTGCTGCTGCTTAAACTCATGGACGCAGAGCTTTGGGCGTCTGGGGTCTTATTCCCGTAGGAAGAATTCCAGAGGGGATCGCTGCTGTGGGGGGCGCACTCCTCATTGCCTCTTGCTACTGTGAAGCTTTACTTGCCTCCAAAAGGGTGTATCAGTCCCCCGGGCCACGGAGATACGTACAAATTATAGCTCAACCTAAGCAATCATTTCTAAATCTGAGCTTCCCGGTTGGTGAAAACACTGAAGTGCTGGGAGGTGGTACTCCTGGGGAGGGCATGGAGGCTCCAGGTACCCCCCCCCCAGTACCTTCCCCATCCGTGTGTTCCACTGGGCTCTTCCCGAGTTGTAACCTTTATAAAACACCTGTACATATGACTGAACAGTGTTTCTGAGTTCTGTGAGCTACACTAGCAAATTATTGAACCCAAGGAGGGAGTCATGGGAACCCCCAATTTATAACTGGTTGGCCAGAGTATAGGTGTCCTGGGACTTGCCATGGAGTCTGAAGTGGGGGCCGTGAGCCCTTAACCTGTGGGCCCTGCATTAACTCTGGGTCGTTGGTGTCAGAACTGAGGTGACTTACTGGACGCCGGTTGGTGTCAGCGCTGGCGAAGGGGGTTGGGAAAGACAGCACGTATGTGGTGTCAGGGAGAAAACCGCCCACACATCTGGGGTCAGAGAGCTGTGAACAACAACGGACCCCACGCCAAGTCACCTCCTTCCTTCTTCCCTTCCTCCCGACCCTTAGGAGATGTTCTGCGAGGGCCAAGTGTGCAAGCAGACGTTCCAGAGAGCCTGATGGGCCCACCGGCAGAGCCAGGCGGGCTGCAGCTTGACGCCAACTCGCACGCCAGCGCCAACAGCTGTTAACCTGTCCCGATCTGGCGATGGGGCCTCGCGGTCAGAGAGGCCTCACAGCCTGTACCAGAAGCCATTTGGGTTGCGGGAAAGCTGCTCAGCTCAATAAACCTGTCCGATGGCTCTGATTCCTCCTTTCTGCGTTTTAGCGTGTGCCACTATTTTAAGAACTATTTGGCCTAAGATGGGCATCCAGTGAGTAAGATGTAGTTCCTGCCTTCAAGGTCCAGTGAGGAAGATGGGTGAAAGGAGCCATCTGAACGGTGGCAATGAGAGCCCAGGAGGGACAAGCCTGACTTTGGGGATGGGCAAGTGGTGGCAGGGGTCTGGGGTGGTGGAGGTGATCTTTAAGCTAAGACCTGAAGCATCGGGAAGTAGGAGGCATCGGGAGGCTTTCGAGGTGAGAGGCTGGGGTGAGTTGGAGGGATGGGTCATGAACTGAAGAGTGCTTTAGCTGGAGCATGGGTGTATGT